TTTTTTTTTTTGTAACTTTCTTTTTTTTTGCATTTTGCTGTTAATTTAATTTTCATTAAATAATAAATTAACCTATCTGTACGTACAGTTCGCGTTTATACGTACGAATGTTTTGTCTGGGCGCGTAAGTGTAATTTTGGGTGGGGCCAATGTTTTTGGCTTCATTGGCACAGAATTGATATCTATATACGCGTTCTATGACTACGTCTTGATAATCAATAGTTTCGACATTGTCGCCCAAAAATGGTGGATGGGCGTGTTCGAAGCCGAAGCGGGTGAAAGAAGATGTTCCATGCTCTGTTGTAGTGCTGTCTTCGGGAGGGATCATTGTCTGAAAATTTGGTTCGTGGTCGCTTGTCAATATTTTGTATTTGGCTTTAATGTAGGTTGGGTTTGGCAGGATCTAGAGATGTTGATCAGAAATTGTCAGAATCGAAACTAGCGGCGGGATCGTGATTCTGTTTTGTGGAATCAAAAAATGGGCTAACTGTGATGTTAAAAGGAAAAATGGCAAATAACTGCGTAGTTTACAGGATCATGTTGGGCAAGATCGCCATGTAAAGAATGTGAGAGCAGTGAAGAGAACTTAAACATTCCCTGTGAATCTCTAAGCTGCTCGGCAGTTTTCGCCAAGACTACCACTCTTCATAAAATAAATTTGGCAAAAGAGTGTCCCTGTTAAATGAAATGAAATTCAATTCATATTTTTTTTGAACACTTCTTAAATGCCAAGGCAAGCTCGATGCGAAGTCTCAATGTTGAATTCAATTTTTATTAAAATTACCGTACTTATACACTATAATTTTAACCTAAGTTTGTTTACAATTATTTTTGCTTAAAATTATAATATGCTGATTTCAGCAGTTATTGTATATGGGGCGCTTGATTCAGTGTCATGTTTTCACTTGTTTAGTTTAGATTTCTTTTCTGTCGGATTTTCTGTCGATAATTTAAAATAACCAAGCACTTCTTTAGATATCCATTCAAAATTATATAATCATTTTGAAACCTAAAAGGAACTACGTCCTCGTTGTAGTGAAAACACAGTAAAAGGTTCGTTTGAATTGTTCTTTATTATGAATACTTTACTTCTGACTTTAGATCTGACTTAACTGAACTGTGGTCAGTAATTTATATCATAAATTATTATGCTAACTTATGCAAAATAGTAGAATTAAACTAGGCTATTACTAAAGTAAAATGTGGTATAACTAGATTGCCTTATATTAACTAGGTCGTAGCTTGACTTGCAGTATGTGGAAAGATCTTAAGTAGTTTATAGCTACGTTTACATTATGTGGAAATATATGAAAGTGAAATCTAAGCATAAATGATTATTGAACGGGTAGATGGCGATAAATCGATAATGCTACAATGTTTTTATTTTACATTACTCACTTTCAAGCTCTCAATAGTCAACGTTTTTTGATTTTCGAACGTGGCCATGCCTATCTTGCCCATCTGAATTGGCTTTGTACTATTTACAACATCGGACAACACATCTTAACCAGGAACTATTTTATTGCAATCGTTTCTTCGCTCTCCTTGCTGCGGCAACAACTATTTAACGGCTTATCTTCAACCCAGAAGAAACCTATATACTTTGAAGTTATTATATTTTAAAACTCAAAATGAGCTAAACTTCTTCTCAAAAAATCTGAAATACCTTACTCATGAAACGTTTATCGAATATGAAATAATACTAGAATTATTCGACTTACGCGCTAAAAAAATGCCACAATTGGAAATCGATTACATAAAGTACGAAGGGATATTCAGTGTTGCCAAATTTTTTGTATTCTCAAGAAAAGATGGGATATTTATAAGACTTTTTGCTTTATTTTGTGTTTACAATTTTAAGTTTCCCTTACCTTCCATTTACTGAGTTGAGAAAAAAAGTTTAACTTAAATATAAATTGATCAGGCTCATATACCATGTGACAGCCTCTGTCAAAGAAAATTTAAATAAAATATAAGTTGCTCAGGCATATGGAAGAAGAGGAACCAGGAAAGGTTGGGAAATTAGTTGATTTTCTAATCTGGCGAACGGAACGTTATTTTGAGCTTACAATTTGAATAAGTATTATAAAGACGAAAAGTAAGTATTTAAATCTTTTATTACTTGGATACTATTACATATCACATTTTTGATATTCAAATTTTGTTTCTTCCGTCTATTTGAAATTTTATTTAAAAATAATACAAATTTGTATGCAAACTTCAAGTATAGGCTCTTGTTTTAAAAAGAAGTTAATGAAAGTACAGAATATTATAGTACAGCGAGATTAACTGAACTTGCCAGCTTTCAAATTGCGTCTTGAAAATTAAAGCGAATGTATTAATGTTTTCCAATAACCGTACTTAATATTTCTATACAACAACGATCGTAAATAAGATTGCTATAATCTAAAACTCCAACCTTAAAAAAAAGGAACAATAATATGATGCTTTCACCTCTTGTTATCATAATCGGTGTAATCGTCAACCGGATAAATTAATTTATTGGGGAGGACTCAAGTGAATAACTATTTGGACCAAAAGAGCAACATGAAGCACGTTAATGTCAGGCAGTTATCTGTTGACGCACATATTTAATACTTCACTCACCCCCTAAAAATTTACGAAGAATTTAGAAAAGATATGTAAATAATTATATGGATTTTAAAATTTACGTTGCGTGAGAGTACTGCTGTCATTAGTCTAATTAGAACTAAGTGTAGTTGAGCGTTGGCTGTTAAGGAAAATGTAAGGTAAAGTGCAATTATTATAACACTTGATATTTATTCTCGTGAAACAAAATGGTGTTTTGAGTTTTCGGTTTATCTGATATATGAGGCATCGTTTGACATTGACCAGATGAATTTACAAATACAACAAAAATGTTTGATCGTATTTTTTGTTGGGCACGTTGGTCCAAATGTCCTCCAGTTATAATGTTTAGAAGTGTTTCGGTATGTTTAGCGAGTTTTTGCTATGGCGAGAAATGGACCATAAAATCTGTATTAAATTTTATGTAAAAAATAAAATTAAGTGATCCAACATACTTAAAGTGTTAACTATGCCAGTTGACAAGTCCACTTTAAACAAAAAAGCATTTATAAGTGATGCAAGCATGTCACAGAAGGACGGAAAAATGTTAATAACGATGATCGCCCTGGACTCCTCAGCACGTGAGCAGGCGATGGAAATATTGAAGTAACGAAGAAAATTGTTGTAGAGAACCGTCGAATCACTACTAGAGAAGATTCCCAAGATATCGGCATATCGGTTGGCTCATGCCATACAACTTTTTCGGAAGTTTTGGGCATGAAATGAGTGGTACTATAATTTAAACAAAAAAACTGTAGCATGAGCATAGCTCAGAAGCTCCTGAATGACATCAATCTTGACCCAGATGTTCTCGAATGAGTCGTAACTGATGACGAAAAATGTATATATGGTTTTGATGTCCAGAATGGCGGGCCAAAAGAGTCAAAACCGAAAAAAGCACGCCATGTTCAATCAAATATGAAAGTTTTGCTCACTGTTTTCTTCGATTACAATGGCGTTGGATGGCGTGAGTTCTTGTCAGAAGTTTGTACTGCCAATGAGGAATATTACGTTGAAGCTATTCGCCGTTTGCCTAAAACAATACGAAAAAAACCAGCAGTGGATATTGCACCACGATAATAATGCGTCAGCTCCCATATCACCAATATCTTAATGATGCCTCAGCCACCGTATTCACTGCACTTAGCCTCCTGCGACTTTTTGCTATTCCCAAAACTGAAAAAACTCATGAAAGCGCGGAGTTTTGCCACGAGTAAGGAAATAGAGTCCGATTCGCTGAAAGGGCTCAAGGTCGTATCAAAAAGCACATATTGAAAGTTCTTCTGGAAAAAGGGGATTACTTTGAAGGGAACAAAGCCGATATTGATGAATAAATATTTTTCGAGAGAAATAAAAAGTCAATTTTTTGTTTTGAACAGACGTCGCTTATATTTTAATTGAAAAAGTTTATTATATTAAAAGGAAACTTCAAATTCTGAACACAAAGTAAAGCAAAAAGTTTTATAAATATCCCTCTTTTCTTGAGAATTAGAATATACAATAAATTTGGCAACTCTGAATATTTCTTTGTACTTCATTTTATCGATTTCCAATTGTGGCATTTTTTTAGCGCGTAAGTCGAATAATTCTAGCATTCTTTCATATTCGATAAACGGTTCATGAGTAAGGTGTTTTAGATTTTTTGAGAAAAAATCTATCTCGTTTTGATTTCTAAAATACAACAACTTCAAAAAAAAAGTATTGTACATCGTTGCAGATACAATAAACATATTTTAAAATGTCGCATTTTGATGAAAGTACGTGTTTAAATAGCGATGATGAGGCAGAGGACGACATATCGTCTACGGGTTCAAGCCAAGACTCAACAATTAAGGAATCCGACACAGAAGGTACATTTCCAAAATTTACGGAGATAAATTCTTTAAATAATTGAGCGATAATAACGTGCTCTTTTTTGATAGATGATTCCAGAGGGTCACGCGTTCGTTTAGCACGTACTCGTCTGAAAAAACGAAATAATGTTATTGATTCCGAAGAAAGCGAATCAGAAGAAGCCAGAGCCTTCTCTCCGAGCACTAGATTAAGCATCACAGGCATCAAGCAAGTGGAACGTTCATCAAGTGCGTCAAGTGAAATAGAATATGAGTATTCGAAGGAAATTGTGCATGGGTCAAATAGTAGCAATCATGAAACGGAAGATGACGCGGATGACTCGATTCCATTTGCGTATCAATCGGGGATCAAACAAGAATCTACACCGCAGGCGAAGGAGAAATTAAAAGAAAGACCATTTGAAGACAGTGAAGCAGAGGATGAAGATGCTGGCTCAGCAAAATCGCAGAATTCTCCATTACATTTACCGCGATACAGTTCCCATTTTGAGACTGATATTAAGGATAATTTGTCTTCCACCATGTTCCAGAAAAGTTTCCAGTATGCTAACAGTAGTGAAAATTTAGCTGATGCAGACCAAACAGCTTCATTAACGGTGGACAGTGACTTGGAAATTATAGAAAATAACGAAACGACAATAGTTTTATCAAGTTCCACTGAAGATATTGCGAGAAAATCAGAAAGCTCTTGCGCTTCCAGTATTGAGAAGAAAACTATACAACCAAAATTGCCAACTATTATAAAAAAAATGTCTTCAACTGGAGCTATACCAAAGCAACAGTCACTGAATTATGTTTCTCGGGATTATTTTAATAAAGAGATTAAAAAACTGGAAGAATTGAAATGTGAGAAAGTCAATGCTGAAAAATTATTTGAGCGGATAGCTAAAAGTTTACCGGATGGAGGCAATCAGTTATCTTTAAGAATTAACAGTTTATGCGCGGATATAGCTATCAAAACGAAATATATGGATTCCTTGAGGATCGAAGATAAGCCGCTTAGTAGTCCTCCATCTCAGCCGCTACAAGGAGAACGAAAAGAAGGTTTCAATAAAATAGTTCCTGGTTGGGATGAGCTCTCCAATGATGTAAATAGTATACAGCCAATTCACACGGGCAAAATAGGCATGGCCACATTCGAAAATCAAAAAACGTTGACTATTGAGAGCTTGAAAGTGAGTAATGTGAAACAAGAACGTAAACCGAGGACGTAGTTCTTTTTAGGTTTCAAAATGATTATATAATTTTGAACGGATATCTGAAGAAATGCTTGCTTTCTTTAAATTATCAACAGAAAATCATAAGAGTTCGTTTATTTTTGATTTTGACGAAGTTGAAAAAAACTTGTATTTATTGATAAAAGTGCACAAAAGAGCACACATGTAATTTATTAAATTATTTTTGAAGTTTGTAAGAACTCCTTTTAATTGGTCTGTAAAATATATTTTGTTTTAAGGCTCTTCACAATTCTTTGGGAAATTGTCCGACAGCGGACGTATTGGCCGATGATCCGAAAGGCTTAAGAATTACATTAATGCCTCATCAAAAGCACGCTTTAGCATGGATGTATTGGCGCGAAAAACAAAAACCTAAAGGAGGTATTTTAGCAGACGACATGGGCTTAGGCAAAACCCTAACAATGATATCTTTAGTGTTGGCTTGTAAAAATGGTGACGAAAGCGAACCCCGAGATGATGATAGTGACAGTGGCGATGAAAACAGTAATCCTAAATGGTCTTCAAAGGGAAGAAGAGACTGTACGTATTTTAGAAATTTCAGGAGAAAGAAACTTGTAACTTAAAGTAATCTTTTAGACTACCAAGGCGGAACTTTGGTTATATGTCCGGCGAGTTTATTACGACAATGGGAATTTGAAATAGAAACTAAAGTTTCGCGGCACAAGTTAACAACTTGTGTACATCATGGCCAAAAACGTGATAACAAACCAAAACATTTGCGTACCTACGATATTATAATCACTACGTACACCATTGTAAGTAGAGAACATAAAGTTGGAGGTGCTTTGTTTGGTATTAAATGGAAGCGCATTATATTGGATGAGGCTCATACTATCCGCAATCACAAGTCTCAAACATCAGTCGCAGTATGTGCCCTACGTGGAACATATCGATGGGCTTTAACAGGTACGCCTATACAAAATAAGGAAATGGATATTTATTCCCTGCTAAAGTTTATGCGTTGCTCCCCTTTTGATGAATTAACTCATTGGAGGAAATGGATCGACAAAAGCGCAGGTGGCCAACAGCGCTTAAACACCATTATGAACACTTTGATGTTAAGACGCACCAAAACGCAATTACAAGAGCTTGGCGAACTTAGTAATTTACCTCAAAAACATATTGAACTAATTGAAGTGGAATTGGATAAGGATGAGATGAATGTATATCAGAAAATCATGGTTTACTCACGCCATTTGTTTGCCCAATTTTTAAATCAAAGAGCTGAGCGCAACACCGATCTCTTGTATAGGGAGCAAAGTTCTCGTCCGACTTTTATGCAAACAAAAAATCCTAACGATGCTTACTACAAAATGCATCAAAAATTCACAAAACTACATCGTAACCAAGAAGACATCAAATCTTATGAAATATTGGTTTTACTCTTACGACTAAGACAAATTTGTTGTCATCCTGGTTTAATAGATTCTGTGAGTTTTCTCTTTGCATACTTTTAAAGTACAGCTCTTTTAATTTCACCATTTTTTATAGATGTTAGAAGATGACGATGTCCCACACATGGGTTCAGCAAGCGAATCCACGCAATCCGAACTTGATCTGTTAGAACAATTGAATCAGTTAGTTATTGATGATAAGGATGTGACTCCTAAAGAAATTTCGGACAATAGTTCGAACAGTGATGAGAGCACTTTGCTTGGCAACGAAAAAGTTATATCGAAAGCCTCTGCCAAAGTACTGCGACGGAGTAATCCTGTTTTTGACTTGAGAAGACCATCGTCGAAAATGAGAAAAGTTCTTCAAACAATAAAAGCTAATGTACTAAAGACGAATGATAAGGCCATTGTGGTGTCGCAGTGGACTAATGTTTTGGAAATACTAGGAACTCACCTTGCGCAAGCTGGTATATCCATCCTCGCTTTAAATGGCCGAATACCTGTTAAGAATCGCCAGGATATTGTCTCTGAATTCAATAACCCATCATCTAACAAACGCATTTTACTACTTTCCCTTACAGCAGGTGGTGTAGGTTTGAATTTGATTGGTGCCAATCACTTGCTGTTGTTCGACTTGCACTGGAACCCACAGCTAGAGGCACAAGCGCAGGATCGCATTTATCGCGTGGGTCAGAAAAAAAATGTCGTAATTTATAAATTCATGTGCAAAGACACGGTGGAGGAACGTATCAAAGCTTTGCAAGAACACAAACTGGCAATGGCCGACAGTATATTGACAGGTGCCAAGGCATCTCAGAGCAGTAAATTAACATTAGATGATCTTAAAGGTCTATTTGGAATGTAAATATCGCTACTAATGGTACATATGATAATTGCATTCTTATTATGAAATGCGTTTTCTTATTCAATAAAAGTAAAATGCTTAAATTTGTGGAAGCGTCAAATTAGTTAACTTGTCCCAAATAACAGATAAGAAATTAATTACGACTTACGTAAAAATAAACAGAAAGTTTAACAAAAGAAATAGCAAACATTTTCTATGGATTTTTCACTCAAGAATAATGAATATGATGATACATACGATTTCCTAATTATGCAATTAGATACGTAAGAGGTAGACCTCTGGATCAGAAATGTGCAAAATCGTATAACCTTAGATTTTGAGCAGATCGATCTGTCTGTTGTGTCCGTCGTTGTCAAAGTTGCCTAACCGTAGATGCAAAGTTCAAAATACGTGCATATACTATCGATCTATTAGTCTACGCACACATACATATACTCATATAAGCATTAATCATGCTTTATTCGCCCTCCAATTATTTCAATTTAAGGCCTATTTTTTATTTATCAAACAGAAAATGGCTTACATTCTGCAGTAGGTCTTTGGATTTCAATTTGCACACCGGCAATTAAAAGTTTCTAAATTTCTATCCACTAAAAGAAAATCAGTTCGCAAAATATTTCTTTCCCTGTTCGAAAAATTTGTGCTGTCACAAATATTAACCAAGTGGTACTTTATTTTTCGACATTTTAAAATATTGATTATTAACATCGATTGATTTCATTATTCAAAATTGTCTCATATATAGCTTTCCGTCCAATAATTATTGCAGTTTACAATGCACAATGTACACATAACTTTATATACATATAAATCAATATTTGTACATAAACACCTATGTATGTATGTATGCCACTAACGTATGCCAATTCTTATAATTTTATAACACATTTAGAATGTTCGACTGAAAACGATAATATTTTATGATTGCAATTCCAGTTACTGCTTGTGTGCGCTTTATTCAATTTCCTTGTAAGCGTCTTCCAACCTGCTGACAATACTCGAATAAAATTTGATTTGTTCCTCAATTAACAATTTCAATGTTTGCTTCAAATGTGTTTCTCGTTCGAATCGAAAGTGCGTAATTTCAGCAATAATGGCATACGATACGATATCCACTCGTCTATTCACCTCAGCCAATTGCGTATTGCTCATTTTTTGTTCGGCCGCTAAACGTTCGCAATCTTTTTTCTTTTGCATGGCTCCTTTATGGGTCGTCAGAATGTCGGGAAAGCTGTTCAGGATGCCTCTAAAAGTGTAAAGAATTAAATCAAAATGCGTTTCATTAGTGTTCTCAACCAAACTGTACAGTTAGTTATATAGGTATAAAATATTAGCCTGTGCGATAATATACTTTTTACTATATCCGATATTTCATAAACAGATTCTAATAAAAACAAAAAACTGCTTCTGCATGCGTTTTTATCGAAGTGAAACTTTCAGGGGATATATCTAAAGGAAGAGATACGAGACCATACGCATAGTTCTGGTTATATTAATCTTCATTAAGATGATAATTTGGTTTAGCAAACAAAAGCAATTGAAAAACGATATATTCATCTTCGTTCATGTATTTGTCCATTGAAAGCAAGAAATGAAGAAATAATATTTCTATCAATTGTTTTTAAATTGTTCTTAAATGAATTAAATGAAAAATTGAAAAGATCAAAACAGCTTGGAGTTAGTTTGGGACATGGGTATGTAAAGTGTTTCAATGACTTAAAGAAATTGACCCTAAAGAAAGCAAGTAAGGAAATTATATTCGGTTGTGATCGAATCTTTGATACCCGTCATCGCTATGCTGAAGAAAGTAAAAAAATTAAAAGGACTAAATTTTCATTTACCCGATACGTCGATCTTAAAGCATAGCGCACACATATTATATCTTGTATATACTTTGTATCATACTTTTCGGCATGTTTGTCTATTTGTCCTAGATTTCGCGATTTTTTCGCAGTTGTAGAAGAATTTTGCGCAATCGGTTCGACTTAGCTGATTTGAAGAACTGGTACGTACATTTTGTTGACTTAAAATACAATCTGAAACTATCCATTGCACACTTTACGATTTGAGACCCATAACTTCGAAAAAGAAAAAAGGGTAAAATTAATCATTTTTTTGATAATTCTATGCAAACTGATGCATCTATTTAGCTTGCCTTCGAAAGTAACCTAAGTAGAATAATAAAAAACATTCAACACAAATTTGTTTTCCCAAACAGAGTTTTGAGGTTATAAACGGGATTTTAACACACCGACGACAACCAGACAGACAGACCAATTCAATTCGCAATTTATAGTGGCTCAGAAAGACGTTGTTACATATGTTGCAAATATCTGGCGGGTATAAAAGAAAAAGCAAAAAATCAATAGCAGCGATCTTTTACACCTTGCATTTATTTTTATATGAGCCTTGCGAAATCTGAATTACGAAACGACCTACTATTGCATAAGAAAAAACTTGGTATTTATGTAACTGTATTAAATAGAGGTGGTGCAATCAACCAATCAAAGAAAAGAAATACAAAATTGGTATAGTTAATATATATGATTACCTATATATATGCAAGCGATCAGAAAATGGTATCCAATCTAATTTTGGTTGCTCTCCAAATTGCACACCAATCCCGCTGAATATATCACCGATTCTGGCTACATTTTCTGATAATGCATTTCCATTCCTAGACGGAGCACGCTTCTCATCAATTAAAAGAGCTCGCGATAGATCAGATAAACCTTCTCCTATTCTTTGATATTCCTTTTTAATTTGTGTTTGATAGCGTTTTACAACATCGTTCGATATGGATAATAAATTCCGTATTGCTGTATCCATTGCGTGAATGAACTGGGAACAACTGTCCATTTGTGTGTCCACATACGATTGCAAAAGCTGCTTTTCTGGTGGCGATATAGCCCAACAGTACGTAATTCCCACATATGTGTCACGTTCTGCTTTTCGTTTTCCAGATTTCCAAATCTTTTCATCCGTACATGTTAAAAAATGATACCAAACTTCGCATTTTGATAAAACGGGATGACGGCAAACCCAATCGACAAATTCTTGTAGCTGAACACGACGATGTTCAACAAATTGTTCTTCATATCTACCAGATATCTGCTTATCGGGCAGTGGTGGAATGGGAATCAAACAAAACTTCTCAACCAACCTCTCATGAAGCCAATCAAAATGTTTGTATCTACGTGAAACCTAAACAATAAAAATTTACTATGAAATCTTGGTATAAACCGGGTATAAATGAAGATTTACAGCGTAAACAAAATTAAAGGCATTGCAATATCACCTAAAGGCTATCACGTACCTCGCTTTTAAACTCAACTCTCGTTTGAGTAGGGAAGGGACATGTTAATTACACATATTTTAGGAAAACTATCGCGCTCCTCAGATTAAGATTAATTATATGTCTTGTAGTGCCGCCCATATCGTACGGAGCATATGCACCTGATGTTAGATTATGTTTCTAGCCAAAAAACTGGAAGTTATCATTAATAAGTGTGCTAGCTATGTCTTTATCAAGCGTTCCGATCTTCCGACATATCTTAACATTAGAAATCGGCTTTTCCTCTCGGTCGCTAAGATATTTACATGGGAAAATTCAGTTCGTGAAATCTGAACGGATGATAATCATCAAGGCTGTTCTTTATTAACGTTGTAAAACGACGGAACTCGTTACTATCCCATATCAAAGGGATTATTAGCATCTGAAATAGCCATAAAGGCCTTTTATAATCTATAAACCACACCTATGTGTTTTGGCTTCATTTCTTATAATGTACGATATCGATATGGTATTTACATGTCGCCTGTACTGTTGTCCACGATAGTGCCAAAAGAGACTTTATAGTCTTACTGGCATATTAATTATTAATTACAGTAATGATTATTGTAGTACAATGAAATTGTCATTAACAAGTAGTATTATTAATTAATAAATTAATATTCAACTTAAAAAAAAAAAAAAAAAAAAAAACTGTTTTTTGTTTTAATCCAAAACTGTTGCCTCCGAAATTATCTTCGACATTTCTCCTAGATATTTTTCATGGTGAGCTTACACTTTGCAAGTACGTACTTTATTCAGCGAACAAGGTCTTGTTATTTCTTACAAAGTTGCACAAACTCACATATTTTAAATGATGCTATATATCCATTTGCGTATTGATGATGTAATTGAACAGTGCTTCATGCGAAAGCGTTTTCTAGATGGACAATCTTAAGCTTAACTGCAATAAAAATAAATATGCTACTGCATGGATCTCGACTCGAAGAAAGAGGCAACTTTTCATAAGGAATTTGTCACAAATAATGCGCAGATCCCTGCCGCATTTATTAAGCTGGCTAATGCTAATAATCTAGAAGCGGAAAAATGGACAACTGCAAGAAATACTTCCCATCGACACATAGCGTTCTCAGGTAAGAAAATTTCATGCTATGTTTCTTATACGTAGTTCAAGCACTAGTACAAAATAATACTTGAAAAGTTATTGATGTAAACTACTGGAGAATGTTAAATAATCGTAATCAGAATCACGTTCTGAATCGATTTAAGCTTTCCTGTGCATTTTTTTTCTTGTATTCAAATACTATTCGGATCGGGTCACTTTTACGACCACTTCCTATATAACGTCTTAAAAGTTTTAAAAAGTTTTTATATGAATAGTTGTAGAGTGATATAGGGTATCTAAGGGTGGGCCCTCGCTCATTATAGTTGCTTCTATATTCTTCAATTCATTTAAGCTATTTTCAAAAAATTTTCAAGAAGAAACCTCTTGCGCGCGAATAGATTTTTATGACTGATATAATCGGGGGTTATCTTTTTTTTCACAATCTTAACTTACGGAAATATTGTTAAAGCTCGGAGTTAACTGGTAGGCTATGAAAGTTTTCATTCCTTTAAATTTTGATTCTTTTTTAGGGCTGGCAACCACAACTGTGTAATGTTGATGACTTGGTTGCCATTGGTATAAATTGTCCAAAGGTACGATTAATACGAGTTCATTATCTGGTATTCTGTCTTTGTTGCCCACTCCAAGAATAAAGGAATCGGAACTCTTACCAAACATACTGGACTTTTTCAATGTCGTAGGATTGTTATTTGCATTTAAAACCAGTGATTGGGACGTATCATCACCAGGAATTGTTGGTAAATACTTGTTGTCATAATCATTGGTGGAATGTAAGGCGGAGTTCACTTGATTATTTGAAGGGTTATGTGGAACTATTTCTGAATAAGTGTCGTTATCTTCGTCCCAATCATCTTCCCACTCATCGCCATCATTATATTCATCGGCCGTTTGGTCATATCGATTAGGTGTACTCTGCGCTTCTACCGTCGTTCTTTGTTGCTGTTGTTTAACGTCCGCCGCGGACATTACCTCAACGTAGGCAGCTGGGAAGAGACCTATTTCACCGCGACTATTTTTGCCTTCCCACCAGCCTTCACCTACATCAGTTCTGGTAACGGTTAATATTTCTCCAACCGAAATGGAGATTTCGGTGGAACCTGCCTCCCCAGCGAATTCATATAAAACTCTCACGAAAGAAGACATTTAAATTAACTTTTGATGTCCTTATCATTCCATAAATGCCTTAAATAGAAAAAAAATTGCATAGAAATCTGCACAGTAATATTTAATCTTTATACGATTATCAGACAAAGCAAAACTTTATTGAATAAATGATTAATAGTTAAGATGAAAACTTAATGATAATTCCTTACTGCTGGCATTATCGACGAGGGTTGCCAAAACTTATCATTAAACGTGTTTTACCCATCCCAGCATTACTTTGAATTATTCACTTATTAAAAAACCATTGCATACTTTAAAGAGCTTCAAAAATCCTCAAGTATAGATATTAATTTTTGGAGCTCAAACGTTGTAAAAACTAAAATTTTAGTAACATTTCATTTCATTTGATGTAGGTATTATCCGACAAATGATCAAACAACGTGTATATTGTATAAATTTGAAATAATTGTAAAGGTTACTATTAGTGGTATTCTGATGGCAAGAATAAGCCGCTTATATAGCTATATGCCTGAACGATCAGATGTAAAGTCTCCATCCGTAACCAGCAGTATAAATATAAGCTGCTAGGATGAAATTAATTTCTTGTTCACTATATGCATTTAGCTCTTTACGGCTACGTTGGTTCTCATAGCACTCAGTTTACACGTTTATTCTTTCGCAAGATTTTCAAAATAACGAGGTTTATATTTTTTTTTAGCACATATAGAGAAACATTTCGCTCTTTTAGATATTTGGGAAAAATTGCTATCGTTACGAACAATGTCGGCGACATTTATTATATTGACTTAACGGTAATTGCTTTCGCTCTATATCCGCATTTGCTGGAAATTAAATAACTTCTAAACACGACTCATTAAGTTCAAAACAGAAAGAAGTTTTAAAACTTGGCAATCCCATTTAGCTTTAAATCAGCTGTTATCGCTTTTTTGTGGGAATTTAACTACATATATTTTCATTAATAAATTGGCCGTTCCTTTTATTTTTACAAATCAAAAATGCAACATCAGTTTTGGATAACAAAAAAAACGGTGCAGAGAAAATTGGGTTCAAAGGAAGATAATCATATTATATCCTCCGATGCCGAGCTCGACGCTAAAATAGAAATTTTCAGATCTATTGATGAAACCAGTGTACAACTTGGAAAAATTATTGATCTATATCAAGAACGTGTATGTGTATTGTCTCAAGAAGAAAGTGTGTTTGGACGCTTTCTAAAGGAGGCTGGCAAACGCAGTAAAACAACGGGGCAATTTATAACAAATACGGGTAAAGCTGTCTCCTATAGTGGACAGCAGAGAATGTGTGTCCGGGTGCCCCTATTGAGACTTCAAAATGAAGTTAACGTTTTCCGAGCTCGTGCTATAAGTGATATGCAGAGTACGTTGACTTCTATGGAAAAAGAGCGTACAGTTTATCGTGCTGCTCTTGAATGGATGAAATCCGCTAGCTCAGAATTGGATCCGGATACTGGAAGAGGATTAGACAAATTTAGAACTGCACAATCACATGTTAGGATAGCGAAGCAAAATTTTGACAAGCTTACTTTGGATTCAATTCAAAAGGTATGTAGCCGTTACAATCCCAGCTAATCAAAAACTTGTAAGATTAATGGAATCATAAATGTAGCATTTTCTCAATGTGACCATATCCCATTCTAATTTTTTTCTAGTTTCATCTATGTTGTAAGTAGCAATTGGGAGCAATAATTTAATACTTTATTAATATCTACAATATATAAACGCAACCCATATATATACAATATATAAAGCAATTGGCAGCAATAATTTAATACATTATTAATAAATACAATATATAAACAATTGCAACTTGCTTCAAGCAATTGTTAAAAGAAAAATAGTAAGACTGAACAGATAAATTAGGTATACAATATCGCCCTCTCTTTTTCACCGACAATAGTCATGAAACAAAGCGAAATTCATTTTTTCATTTCTTAAAACATAGCGAGTGGTATCTAAGAATAATTCATCCCGGTATTGATTTGCAGTAATTTCCAAGCTCACTTTGTTTTAAAGATTGTGAGCTAATATTTCGTCGAAAGCACAACTGCTGAATAGATAAAAATTATAAAATAGAAAGAGTTTGAAAAAAAAAGGAAGAAATTCAATTATGTTTTTGATGAATATTTCTTTCCAGATTGACCTGCTAGCAGCTGCCAGATGTAATATGTTCTCACATGTGCTAATATCATACATGATGGAGCTGAAACAATTTGCCCAAAAAACGGCCAACACATTTGACGCATTGGCCCAATCTTTACAGCTGAATCCGAAATATGACTTCTGTATTCTGAAGGACTTGACACACAAGCAAAGTCAGCAACAGGAAAATAATCAAAATCAAAAACCGCTTACACTCGACAAAGATCAATCGCTTTTTTTTGCAGTAAGTCATTTTTGCAAATTTTCCAAATTTTCCAAAAAAATATATACATATATGTATTTAAATGTCGGCTTGTCCTCACAGCTGTCCAACCGAGCTTTATCGACTTCCTAACTTGCTTATTTTATTTTTAATTTTTTCCAAAATTAAAGGAACTTCTTGCTAATACATTGGTGAACGAAGGGCGCTAGCATTTTTTGTTAATCTTAGGGAACGTGCAACAAAGATTTTTGTGAAAAGAGACCAATTAGCAATGCTGCAATTTTACCGTTTCCATGATATGATAGAGCTTCACTTTCTTTTAACAAATTGTTAGAAATGTTGAAAACGAAAGGTGCAACATAGCATGCATGTTCCTACTTAATTTCCGCAGGTCAGATTTGACAGTGAAAGAAAAAGAATCGTAATTTGCGATCTGTTGAAATAGAACTTTCTACAGAGTATTTTCATATAATGTGTATCACAAAGATAAATTTAATCGAATGAGAATAAAAAATGAAGAAATATTCTATATAAGGTGTACATGGGCTTCACCGTCAAATTGTTTGAATTCGCCAGAACTGAATTAGCTGGAGTTACTAAACGCATGAACATTTGCCTATATATATATAGTGTTATTATATATAGATATATAGTGTTATTATTGTTTAATTTTAGGATAACTACACTGACGAGGATAATAGCGAAATTAGCAAAGGTGGCTCTAACTCTAAGGAAAGCTTACGCCACAGGCCGGATTCGGAGTCTTTAATAGAAATGAACGAGAATAATCAATATGAAGCTCTTAATATAACCAATGAAACGGAGAAAAATTCATTGATGCCACCGACCTGTAGATCGGAAAGTGAATCTTCATGCTTTCTATTGCCAAATCATCCAGATACACAAACTCCAAATATCGGCAGTCAACAACTGACACCTCAGTTGGCGGTACCTCTTAACAACGCAAGAAATGAGACAAAGAAAAAGATAAAATCAAATAATCCATGGATAGAACTTTTTGCTGATTTGGATCCTTTATTGAATTTAGATGCCTTTGATTTGAAATTGAGCGGCAATCAAGAAAATTTCCAACAAACGTAAAATAAGATTTTTATTTGATTTTTTTGCGTTCATTGTCTGTTCCTACGTTAAATGTCCCTATGCTTCTTCGCGAAGGCTACTTTGTTTCGTACAGTATCGATATATACGAAAATGGATGACATGTAAGATTCAAAATTGAAATATTTAAACAGAAGTAAAAAATGAGAGTTTGATAAATTTGTCGAGTGCATCTTACTTACGTACTCTTCGCATGGGTGCAGTAGCAATTGGCGACGAAAAATATTGATTGATGGGGAGTGAAACGGAAACAGAAAGAGGATGGAAAGTGGTGCAAAGGTTATTTTGCTTTTCAAAAAATGTCGCCTACTTCTCTGCATTCCTTGTTATTTATTATCGGTTCTACACTGAATTCTTGAATATTAATAGATATCGTGTGTGTAATAATTAATTCATTTAAATATTTATCAGTTATAAGTTTTGTTATTTCAACAGATTTATTGCAATAAAAACACAATAAGCTATCTAACGAATCATTTAACTGCGTCTTGAGCTCCTTTCTTTAAATTAACTAGTTCTACGAGCTCTTTAACTCTACGCAAACAATCCTTTTTAGTTCTATTCGGAACGCAATCGGCAATGCGATCCCAACGATCGGGCGTTGAATTTGAATAAGTCTTAAGAGCTTGCTCTAACAGCACCTGCTCTTCTTTTGTCCAAGCCTTTGTTGATGTAGAAGTCGGTTTTTGTACATTTTTTGGTGGCTCTGAGCTGCTACCGTTTATTTGGTTTATCTTGTTGCTCCCCTCCGCAGTGCCAGCCTCATCGTTGATGGTTATATCGGACGTAGTGACCACATCTTTTTTCGATTTATTAAAGCTTTCAAAGGCACTCGCATTGGCTTGAGTTTTCAATGAACTTTTCGAGAAATCACTATTCTGTAAAGCTTTTGCCTTGTTAAGTACATCCCGGGGAGTCACTTTTACATCGCCAGCCGTGTGTTGATTTATAAATGTCGCTATGACATCCCAACGTTGCGATGTCCCGGCAGGGAATAAATTAACTGCTTTAATAAGAAGTTGTACATTATTATTGCTCCAAATTTCACTATTCTTTACTTCTTTAATATCACTCTTCGCAATTTTTTTGTTTTGAGCCTGATTTATCTCTTCCAAGTCAGCTTTTATTTTCGATTCCGCCACACTTAGAGCGGCCAAGAATGAATCTTTCGCGGATTGCTCCAATATATTCTTGTTCAAATCTTGTAGTTCAGCCAATGTGAAAGTTTCGCAAATTTTCTCAACTCCTTCCATATTCTTTAGTGACTCTCTTTCGTTTTCCGCAAAATATTCGTTCTCTTTGACTTTATCACGCAAAGCTTTACGCTCCTTTCTTAGAGATTTTTTCATTAATTCCTTTTCGACCCTTAATTGTTCAATGCGTATTTTCTTTGCTTTCTCTTCCTGTTCTTTCGCCAATTGTGCCTCTTTAAGTGCGCGTTCCTTTTCAGCTTTTTGCGCTTGTAGAACATCCATTTTTGCTTTCTTCGCAGCCAGTTTCTTCTCTTTTTCTTCATTCTTAAATTTCAGAATACGTTTGTCATTATTATAGGCTAAATCGACGAGAGCACGTATACGCATCATTTCCTCTTTCTTAAGTTTAATTCTGGCTGCTTTATTCTCTTTTTCAATCCAGCGTCTCTCGTCCCGATCTTGACCCCGTTCTTTATCTTCTTCGTCCAAGTAACTATACTCTCTCCATGACTTAAACTCGTACCAAAAGCTGTAGAATTTATCTACATCTTCACGTGCCGAATTTTCATCACCGAAAGAAGGAACCATTTTTCGTTCACTCCATCTGGCATTTAAATCAAAACATTGATTGAACGACGGATAAAAATTATTTTCAATATCGTGTTGCGTGGGAAAAGAATCATCAAATTTTGGATCAACAGAATCATATGAGCGTCTTGTTTTCGAAGTACCTGTGTGCGGACAATGAGCGACGAAGAAAAATTTTATGTTATATTTTTTTTTCTAAATTTTATAAAGTTAGTATATTAATGAGAAATTTCAGTTTGAATAATGTGTGAGGCTCTGCTTGTGCTCTATTACTTGTATTGTGCGTATTAGAAGAATCGAAAATAATTCTAAGATCGAGTTTCATAAATAACTGTTTTAAATATGTAAATTTTGATGACACCAACGTTACCAATACCTTTACTTCGATTTTCGGTATTGATATATACAATTTGTATTGATCTAGAGTTTCGAGAGGAAGGAAAGTCTGACACAGTGGCTTCTCAGAACAGAAATCACAGAAATCATGATTTACAAAGAATCGCGAACTTGCTCCTTTTTACTATTAATAGAAAGAAACTCAGGAGTTCGACATCTGTCGTTAATAATTTGAAGTTCATGATGCCTCCTAAACGATAATTTACAAGTAACCGGTCATTTCACAAAAATTGTTTGTAAAAAAAAAAGTTTTTGTTTTCTTCTCTTTCGGATGAAATTTCAAATAAACTCGCATAATTTAATTAACGTCGCAAGAGGAAGTCCCCAGGCATTCTAACGCATATAATTATTATTACATTATCTCTGAACAACTTTTTGCTTGTCAAAAATCACGTGTCATATAAATATGAAATTTGTAAAATGGTCTTTTTTTTCTAAGGCATCAGAGGATCTGATTCTCGATTGTATCGTTACAATATACTATCGGTATACCTTCTGTTTTTTTCATACACATAGATAAATCTATATACATATAACTCACCTAATATTTCATAGGCTTTTGTGATGCACGTGAAATAATCATTATCTGTATCTATTTCTTCTCCTTTAGCTTTCCTTTTATCTGGATGATGCTGTAAAACCATTTTACGATAAGCACGTCGAATATCATCGTCTGTAGCGTTAAACCTGAAAAACATTAAAATTAATATTTCAAAAGCAAATGATTTACCAATGTGCATACCTTAATTTATCCAATCCTAAAACCGCATAATGATCCTGATTTTTCCATTCTTTAGGATCCAATGATTTAAGAAAATTTGGATCAACGAAAAAATCCTCTACTAATAATTTTTCCTCGGATTCTCTTAGCCCTTCACGTTTTAAACAATTCTCAGTTTTTGAATTTAAATATGCAATGCCAACTCTTTCAATTCTCCTAGTATTTAATTGAAATTCACAAACGACTTCGACAAATCCCATTTTCCAAAGAATTGAGCAAACGAGCAAGTTGCAAGTTTAGTGTGGTGGTAAATAAAGATGCGAAACCACCGATTGTTAAAAAAGAGATGTAATTTAAAAATTTAATCGTAAACAACAGCGTTACTTTGGGTCTACATTAGTATTCAATATAGATCAGGAGGGTGATTACATGCACGTAGTCAATTAACTCTTTCGTTCTTCTGTTGATAGCATTCACGGCCGTTTGATAACATTCTTTTTTTCATATACCTAAGCACAACAATCTTTCAATACTGTGGCTTAATTGAGCAATTTCGGACGATAACAAAATGGTTCACGCAAAATTAAAATATTTAAAAACGAATTATTTCAGAATTAAACGCGTAAATTAAAAATTGCAAACAATCTTAAAAAGTTTATTTCTAAGAAAAGGAATAGAGAAATGCGCTGGTCTGTAATTTCTTTCAAAAATCTAGTAATTATTCATGTTTTAAAAACGATGACGCAATTTATTGAAAAAGTTTAAAGGTACATATAATCGTAAAAATATTAACAAATGCCGATATTTAAAAGATCAGGTAGCATGTAAAGGTAACGCGTTATTCCTATTCGCATTTTGGGAGTTAAGATTTGCCAACTTTTTAATAATTTTATGGTAATTGACAAATCATATGGTTTCGCAATTATACACACAAACAAAAGAAAAAGAAGCACAAAGAGAAACAATAATCGTTTATTTCAAATTTTAATTTTATTTGCTTAATTTATGTTTCTCTTACACTAATTTTTGTTGTTATTATATTATGTGGTTTTTCATTTTGGTTTTTATCATGCATTAGACTGTAAGAAGTGGAAACTAGTAATACAGACCGTTCATTTTAAAGTTGAAATTGTTGTACTAGAGAGTCATGGGTAGTAATTTTCAACTTATGGATCACTTAATACAGAAAATGACTCTGTTGAATGTTGCTGTCGCAAAATTTAGGCAGATTATGAAGATTAAGAAAATTGATACTTTTAATAAATATTTTTTCATTTTGTGTACGTTGATTACTTTATTTTGGTCTTTAAAACCATATGGGTTTATTTACATTTTCAGTAAAGTAATAAATATGGTAGCGCGGCTGCCCTTTATGTGTCTTTGCTCATTAGTGAAATTGTGATCTCTAACAATGATATAAAGCTCATATAAATCATTTAATATAGTTCCATTACTTCCTGTTCAATTCAAAGAATTGTTAAGACATTTTCAAAACTTCTAACTTCTCCATGTTTTGTTGTAAATTTTATTTTTTGCAATTTGCATTATAAATGACGACGGCAATCTGCATTTTTCATTTTGCAATGCCGACGGCAATTTGCATTTTGCAATGAATTTTAACAGATTTCTTGGGTCATAAAGCTCTTTTGACAGATTTCCTGAATCATAAAGCTCTTTTAACAGATTGCCTGAGACATAAAGCTGGCGGCTTTGCAAATTAAACGATCTGGCAATTTAAGTTGTTAGTTGGGCACTCAACCATTTCAGAGCATTTTTGGCAATTTTTTTATTTATTATAAGCGACTCTGTGCCTTGCCTTTCAACAGGGAATTTAGCGAGGACTTTGTTTAAAAATTATGACGGTCTAATTTTAGGCTAACTTGTAAAATAAAAGAAATTAAGAAATTTTATAATCGCGAATATTGCGCTGTTCATGTGGATAACCTTTTTCAAACATAGAAGTGTGCCTAAAGAATTTTCAAATTCAACTGGTACGAAGCTGTTATCTGAAAAAGACTTTGTAGAATCGATACACATACACATGCAATAAATTTAAACAGAGAATAAATTCTTTTCTTTTAAAGCGCACTTGAGATTTGAAACCACTCGGGCGGATAACTTGTAAAATTAAATAAGTTTAGTTGGCGCATTTTCCACAACACTATACATACATCTACAGGAGATGAAAGAAGAGCAAAAGCGACCAAGTCAATTAAAAAGAATCGGAAACAATCAGGAAACCATTAAAAAGAATAACAATTTCTTTTGTATACATTTTTATATATATTAATAGAGCTATTTTAACAATTTCTTTTATATATATATATATTTTTTTATATATATTAATAAAGCTATTTTAAATTTATATTTTTATATATATTAATAAAGCTATTTTAAATTTATATTTAAATATAAATTATATAAATTAATATATAGCAACAGGAGTTAGACGATGGGTTATAAAAAGTAGTATTTATTTCTTTGAACTAGTACAAGTACGTCTTAAGCCCGAAAGCCGCCCCCTCTTTGTTCTATTCACTCGTTCATTCACAATATGCTTAATTATGTATATATGTATATAAAAAATTTTGCTTGAGCTATGCCACCTTTCAAGCTATATTCCTTTCTATGAAAATAAACAAAAGCTCAGAATAGTGCATAGTTATGATTCTGTTTTTGATTGTCTTTGTTTTACTTTTGTTTCAATGTCTGTTGCTCATGCAATAAAATATTCTACAATATGTCTTTGCTGTCTTTGCCAACTAAACTTATTCAATTTTACAAGTATGGGATGATCGCGCTTCCGTCCTAGTTTACAGAAATTAAGAATTTAAAGGCGCGTTTACATAGCGAAAAAATAAGATAATAAGGAAAAACCTAAAGGATCAGTTAATCAATACTTCGGCAAGAACAATAATTAAAAAACCGCTCAAGATTATATAAAATTCAAATCAGAATTTATTTCTTTATATTTATAAAAATATATTAATAAAAATATATTATATTAATAAAAATAATGATAACAATGACAGTTATGCATATAAGGGTGAGAATAAGAATAAGGATCTTGATGATGATAGCGGCGATTGGGGCGACTCAATTTTTGGCGCAAATCCGTGATGTAACGCTCATTCCCCCATTGGCGGGCGTTTCGCCTTCCACGCCTACGTCGCGTGGGCGGCGATTGTTGTTGTTCTATTTGAAAATAAGAAAGAAATAATATTATTATTAATTTTAATTAACAAAGAATAAATTCTACTTACTTTTTTCCATATTCAATGGCGAGGATGGCGTTGGATGTAAGAACGTATTATTAATTTTAATTAACAAAGAATAAATTCTACTTACTTTTTTCCTTATCCAATCGCGGTCCGACACAAGTAAAAAAATTAAGGATTTACTCTAGCACTAATTAATTTCCATTTTATTTATTGCTATCAAGGTTCAGATATTTAGTAAAATTTACGAACAAAAATAATAAATACAAAAATAATAAATAATGATGGAAAATTGCCACCTGCAAAGTTCAAAGCATTTCGTTAACGTAGAGTTCAATGATTACATTCGTTACGAAGTGGTTGCTTTATGCACCTCAATCGGTACATTTTATACTAAAGAATGATTAAAGCTCAAACATAATGAATGTATTTGCGTCGTGCATCATGCAAAATATTTTTTATGTGGTATTACAGTTATATATTTTGAATAGCAAGGCTACAATTGCGTGCGATACTTCCGACTTGCCTTTCGATAAAGGCCTGTCTAATTAGATAAACAAATATCTTTAACCATTAAAAGTGCCGTGGCTGCATACTAACTAATCCGAAAGAAACATGCCAAATTTACTGCCAAAAAAGGAGTATTTGGAAAAATTTACACTTATATGCTGTTGATGCACAAATTTATCTCTCGTATATTCTTAGTCTTGTGAAGGATCTGATTCAGCGAATATCCGCCTGAGTGGCCGAGTAGGTAAGAACGTCGACTTTCAACTCAATGGTCGTGGGTTCAAATCTCAAGTGCGGTAGAGTTTTTAATAAGGACATATAAGCCACAAATCTATTGGCTTAGTCCATCTCTGTTCAACAACCAAAAAAAAAAAAAAAAAAAGATTCAGCGAATAAATGAAGATTTAGATTGTACTATTTTCTGGTCCGAAATTAAATTCAAGCACAACACAATCCGTCGTAATACCATCTACGGGCTATGATTCCGATTCCTTATCACATGGTAAAATGGTCGATGGAAATAGTGAGTTTGGTAGTGCAGTTACGAACATCGGACTTAAAAATGAACTCTTTCGCGCGCCCTGACGCTTATGTTAATTTCGTTACTATGAGGATCCATAATATGTTGAGCAAACTGTGACTGTCCTCATCTTATTTTCCAATCTTCCCACATGTATATACTGAATTAGATTATGTCTCTAACAAAAAAGTGCAAATTGTCCTAAGAAAAGTATACCAGATACGGAGATGTAATAGAATGTAGCAGTTTTCGTTGCAGTGGGTTCCGATCTTCCGACATATCTTAATACTACAAAACTGGTTTTTCGCCTGAACTCCAAGATATTTACATGACAAAATTCAATTCTCGAAATTCGAACGGGCGATGACTCTAACCCTACCTGACCACAAGTTCATCGTCAAGGAAATTCTTTATTGACGCTGTAAAGCTATGGAATTCTTTACCGCTCAATATAGAAGTGATTATTAGCCCGAGTAAATGTGAAGCAGGCACAAAGTCCTTTCGTGTTGGCTACGACCACTTCTAGCTCTTGACTCCATTTCTTATATTAACGATATTGTTCTTGTGCTGAAAGAGAATCTATAGTCATACTGGCACATAAATTGTTAAACTTAGTAGTGATTATTATTGCATAAATGAATTGTCATTAATTGTTATTATTAATTAATAAATTAAATCAAAGTAAACTAAATTAAAAAATAATACTTTCATATAAACAGCAAAAAGTAGTATTTTTTCAGCAAATACGTTTCATTTTCTTTTTTACTTTATTGATATATTTAATCATTATTATGATACTTAGTACTTTAAGTTAAAAATGCTTTGTGCTGGAATTCTGGCTTGGAACCATGATTCTTACAGCCTTTGGAAAAATTGTAGCGTGTAATGCCCCAAATTCGATTCGCTCGCCATCCACCGTTATGATGCCTTGAGACTGCCCAGGCTCCAATCGAAATGCAGTAACATGGAAAGCTTTAATGAATTCAGAATTTTCCGTCGGAACATGAGTGCCTGTGCTCATATTTATCAAAAAATTCAGCAACTGTGGACGGGTTATGCCACTCCGGATTATCACCAAATACATAAGACCATCGTTGAGTTGAGATTGCGGAGCAAACAAACAATCACTACCCAAATGAGTTTTGCAGGCGGCATGAACCATTACAAATTCACCTTCCTCGACAATCCATGTGGATGGCAAAGGTTCATGCATAGAAATTGATGGAGAACAATCATACTCGGTATGGGTGATTTCATTACATTCATTGTAATTGTTACCCTCGGTATTACTATTTTCCGCTATGCTGTGATACACGCTTTCGGGAATTGAGTAGTACATGCTTTTTCGCGAGCACGTAGACAACCAGCTGTCACAGCGAGATCTTGAAGAGCAATTGATTGATGTTTGCAATGAAATGATATCTTCAAACTCTGAATCTGTTATATTATCATTCGAATTAAATTTACTGGATGCCTTTGAGTAGGAAAACGTACTGCAACTAACGCTATGAAGCAAGAGCGGTTTATTTACACCTTGAGAGCAATTGTCCATATTAGGGGTAACTTCTGCTCTGGGGAGGTACGATATTTTTCCTTGATATGTACGTAAGTTTATTAAACGATGTAAAGTCCAAATCGTGAATCGTTTATATCCAAATATTCTCAAGCGTTCACTTTCTATATCGATATCAGATATGAGGCCCCATCCAACCGAGAGAAATGAATATATTATCTGAAATATTAACGTAACAAGATAAGGAAATGTATTAAATTTTAAATTATTTTTGCCAAACTTAACCATATAAGCAATTTGTAGCTTACATACTTTATTTTCTAATTCAACTTTCATTATATCCATAAGTGTCGAATGTCCTCCTATTATTGTAAGAGCCGAGCTAAGCAGAGGTTTTGAATCGTAAGGTTCTCTGTAAAAAATTCTGGATATCACAAGTGATCTCCAGAACATAAACAATGTTTCTTACTTATAAGAGTAAGCAACGGAACGAGCTAGTCCGTTTCCTGAACCACATGGTATTACCCCTAGTATTTTAGCAGTTTTACTCCAGTCAATACGTTGCATCAAGCCATTGAGGATTTCATGAAATAAGCCATCACCCCCGACAGCCACAACACCATTCCACAAACTTAAATCCCTCTGTTTAACAAAATCAAAAGCATAATTGGCATGCTTCGTTACGTAGACATCATATGATAGCTCAGCTTCGTTTAACATTGGAACAACCTCTTGAAAAAACAATTCTCGTGCTTTTCCTGAGCCAGATTTTGGATTTAAGAATACAAGCAATCGCTTTAAAACGTGGTTCCCACGCGATTCACATGCGCATTCTTTAAGATAATTTTCCCGGTGACATTTTAAAGCCTTATACCATTTCTCCGCCTCACGTAAATTATCGTCACGACTGTCGAATGTGCGAAAACGTAAAGTAATAACATTACGTTCCCTTCGGATAGAACTTCTTAATTTCTTTTTTAGTACATATGCGAAAATATAAAGATAAACGTCTTCGTTATCTTCAAATCCACATTTACTTTCCTTAGTATTCGGAGTGCATGCACCACATGATACATTCCTTTTGAAGCGTGTTTGCTTGTTTTGCAACACGCACCGACCACCAACTATGTCGCACATCTGTATTAAGTGATGATCTTTATTACATTCTGCATCATCCCGCTGAAGAAGAAGTCCATCTTTGCTAAGGCGAACATAAAAGGTACTCCCCTTCTTTTTAGCTGAGTAAAAAGTTTCACTTAGTTCGTTTGGAATCGAACATGTATTACTGATTCTATCAGATTCAGATATGTTTTCCTTATCTATACTGATATCCTGCATGTTGCAAATAAACGAACAAAGCAAAAAATAAACTACAAAATTCCTCCTCGGAAATCGGGGGGCAGGAAATTTACATTTGCATTGCCCCGAATTGAAAATTTAGAGCAATGTGCATCATCTCTAACCAACTTTCCAATGGATGTCTACAAAATTTTTCACTTAAAACTACTCGCTTTATTTATTTTCCGTATAAATATTTTTGTTTTTCTTGATGGTAGAGCTGCCAACACCCAATGTATGCATGCGTTCGGCACGTTGTCGTACGTTTCTATTAAGAACATCGGAACAGCTGTATTAATGTTACGTGTTATTAGAAAAGAAATTTTTATTAAACATAGCAAGCCCTAGATGTGTAAAATTGTCTTTATTCATAAGATTTATTTTGTCCTTGTTTCTGGAGAAAATGGAAAAAAAAGTCATAAACATAGAGTTTTTTGAACTTTTTATATTTTCATTAACATAATTATATTTCAAATATAAGAACAAATATACCAATTGGATACTTTAAATTCGTCTGTTTTAGTAAATCTAAAGTGCATTATTGTTAGCAAAGTATGATGTTAGTTTCTTCAGTTTTTTACTGAGAATTACCTTACCCCCAGATGATTTTTTTTGACAAAGAGCGCTGAATTCATAGATGTTGTAATGCTTTATTCATCGTTCATTTTAATATTGTTATTATATTATAATTATAAATTAGTGCTTCGTCTAGGATGTGGTAATATAATTACACTACACATGTTCGACAACCCTCGCTTCTACAAATTAAGTGCGCGTCACATATTCTTTCGTATTTTTCGCCATATATTTTAAAATTCGTTTTCTTGGCAGTTCTGCCAGTTTGAATCCTTGAATTCCTATACATATATATAAAATGGAATATTTTGCTAGCAACATATGAATAGGAAACTTATTGTATGGTACTACAGGGGTACTGATTATGTATGGCGTTAACTAGTTTTCATATGCGGTTTTCGCCTTTTTTAGCTATATGTATGCACAAGAGGTGCGAAAAGCCGTCTGTCAAAATTGTTAAAATCGGCGTAAACAAAAATGCTCACGCTTTGCGTTAGTATTGATTGTTTTGAATTAGTTTGCTTGTTTAGGGCTGCATTTATAAAAGAAAACATCTGTAACTTGGAAATAAACTAAATTCCAAACAAACTTGTTTACTTACAAACAGCTGAACCAAAATAAAAATTTGAAATTTTTTAAAAGGTAATTAAATTAACTGTTTTCTTTGCTTTTTACTCGAATTGTGTAATTAATACTTTGTATATATCATCATATACTGTGCTACCATTGATAAAGCGCAAAGGATCAACAAATAATAAAAATTCTTTACTCTGCTGGATATATACTAATCCACTAAACAAACAAAAAAAAAAAAACCTAAGGAAGTGAAATATTGTTATTTAATAATCAAGTAAAGTTAAGGAAAATATAAACATCAGGCGGAATGGTTTCTATGCTTATATTAAGTTGTTTGACAGTGGAACAACACCTTGATTGGAGAAACAGGAATCTTGTGAGACGCAGGGAGCTCTGCGGGATGCTTTAAACCTCAACTTACGCAAAATATGTAATTACATATATTTGTCAAGAATATAAATTGCGAAAGCCGTACGTAACTCTTAACCAAACAGTTCTCATGGTGTGCCTTCCAAATGAGAACTAGTTAACTAACTGGTTCATAATCAGTGCCATGATATTTGATGTAAACAAACGTTATGAAGAAGAGCATGAAAGAGGAAAACTTTGTTCGACATGTACGTGTATGCCTACTAATATATGTGTGCGATAGCAGAATATATTGAAAGGATATGTGCTAGCGCTGTAGTAAAAAAAAAAACATATTTACACTTATTCTTCTTGCGCATATGCATGCACACAGAGTTCCTACAACCACAAACATTATATATGTGATGATTATTAAATTCTGAAATTATTTATAAAAAAATTCACATAAAATTTATAAATAAATGTATTATTGATTATGCAATATTTTAATGATTCGCGTATCCGTTTTAATATAGTAACATGGCATACATATATTTAACGTTGAACTTTTTTGATACACGTTAAATTGACAAGCTGAACTAAGAATAATTTGTATTTCGTTTTCTTTTCGTCTGTTATTTTAATTTTAACCAAATATTATATTCTCCTGCTGAGAAGGGCGCTTTGGCAAAAGTGAAGCGTATCAATTTACTTTAGCCCCACATCAGCAAATACAACAATGTTTATGCGGGAATTTTGTTCCATTCCATTATTGTTCTTCTTAACACAGTTTTGCAGGACACGAACCAACTACCCGCACAATACCCCCTACAACTTTTAAGTGTGTTTATATATATGGCCGGTAAATTTAATCGATAATAGAAAGAAAAAAATAGACAAAAAAAAATTAAATTAATGAGAAAAAATTATTTTAATAATAAAAATAAAATTTACCGAAAATTAATAAAAATATTTATATAGATTGAAATGATTAAATTTCAATAATTAATTTAAATTTATTATCGTCATTCATTACGAATGAATAACACTTATCAAGGAGATGTTACCACGGTTTGTTAATTACTGCTAAGGTTACAAATGAAAAATGTTTTGTTCTTCTGGGTTGGCATCGCCGTTGAAAAAAAACATTGGATTTGTCATACAAGCTTATGTGCTTCTTTTAATCTTTCTTCGTAATGTTAATATCGTGTAAATAATGTGCAATTAACAAGTAATTATAATTGAAAATATAAAAAGTGAAGAAGAATCTTTGGATTAATTCTTAGGAAGGAGTTCCCTTTCGCCCTGTGAGATATTTTGTCATATACACCAATAGTAACACAAAGAATTGTTCGCGTTGGTTATATATATTCATAAATACACATACAAATGTGTGTAGATAAATGCAAACATATGTATATAAACATGTATAAACCTATCGGAGGATTTGGGTGATATGTAGATTTAAAAAGATTTAATATTATTTGGCACGGCCTAGTGATTTTAAGTCATCATTAATCGTGAACTGTAATAGTGACATGGAGAACAGGGAGGAACAGTTGTCAGGTGAAATTTGTGCTTCAGGTGAAGCTGCAAAACATCCCAATTTATCTTCAAATCAAAAACTGCAACTAACCACAAATCCTTTACTTCTAACATGTTCAGCACCAACCGATAGGTATGTGGGGAATAGTGAATATGATCATTTATATCGGCAATATGTGGGCATAGAATCTACCAGAAACCCAGAGTTTATAAATGGGTGGTTTTCGAATTCTTTCAATAAATCGTCAATGGCTGCAATGATGAATGCTGCCACCAACAAAGTATTGCACATAAATGTTCATGAACTCTTGATAGAGAACCGTTCTCTTAGAGAAAAATTAAAGGAAGTGATCACCGATCGGGATCGTCTACTCTGCGAAGTATCAAATCTTCGACTAGAGCTGGATATGGCAGAGTTAAAACGTCTACCGGAAGAAAGGTAAATTAATACATTTTCAGTGTTTGTTTTACTCTGTGGTAGCTTTACGTGCATTGTGTAGTGACAACAACCCTACATAGTAAATGGGGTTGCAAAAATATTGCAAAAATAAATAAGAAGTGAAAGTCAATTGCAATACGAAAGTGTTAAATCGTGCTCTTTATTACACTCGTAAAACTGAAATTAAAAAAAGGGGCACTTTCTCTGTTAGAAGTTAAGACACCCATGCGTGACATATGTATTGTGCTACCGGTACAAACCGAGCTAAGCGACATCCAAGTATAACAACTTTCAGTAGAAAATGCTGTTATCTTAAAAAATGTTTATTTACGCATTTCATTTCATTGTATTGTCCAAGATTTTGATAAAACTAGAAATTACATTCGATGAATTCTCTGATCAGACACGGCTTACCTATTTTTATTGTTTCTTAATAAGAGAATGTTGAAAATAAGAATGCTCTTCAACTGCTCAAACCGTGTATGGCCTAACTCTAAATCGGCACAAACTCCCTGCCATAAATAAACCTTACGATATCATAACGTATATGCTCATACCTCTCGAGCGTCTGACAGTGGAAAAAGGGCATACACAACATAATTAAGCAGGGGACGTGACAATATAGCTGCGAGCATGATATAGATTGAATTAGTTCTCTTTTTCAACTAAACTTGACAAGAGCAGTTACCAAGGTAGTATAAAGATTTCAATGGAAACAAAGAGTTAAATTAATTAGGATATTTATGTTAAAAGGCGTATAGGCATAAAGAGTTAAAAATTCGTAGCCTTATGTTTTGCTATGGTATATTGTAAACATTCTATACGCCAATAATGACAAGTATATTAATCATATAGTCGTTTATTCCGCTCTTTGGAACAGCCTTGTATTGTAAGTCAGTTATTTAAGATTAAAAGATTTTAAATAAAAAATATTTTCTTTATTGAAAAGATTTAAAATCCCAGTGAATCCTTTTATTTTGAAATTTTATTATTAATACGCATCGCAGGGTGTAGGGTGCAGGATTTCAAAAGTTTTTAATGCATAAACATGTGTTTTACAGACCCATTTAAAAATATACGTTTATAACTAGCAGCGTGTTAAGTGTTTGCCGTGATCCTTATGTTGACATCACGAATACGATCTGCCGAATGTTTTTATTAAAGGATGAATTTGATTTGAGAATTTTTCTTACAACCATTGTTCGACCGGATTGGAAATTTTTCATACAATAATCTTAATAGAATATCGATAGCCGGAAAGCTGGAGCTTAATCGGAAAAAGGCACTTATTCTTTGTTACTAAGAACATACATAGACTGGCCAAAGTGCATAAGAATTTTAGTGAGACCTGTGGGGTCTAGTACGCTTACAAAAATATGATTTTAATTGTGTACAATGTACGGATGACATTGTGTACAATATGTACAATGTATAACGGATGAGTGGAGCTTCGTCTTATCTTGCGGTCAAATATCGGACTCAAATCACGTAAATTCCTTTTCCTTTTTGGCTTAGCAACTAAAACCGGAAATTAGGCTTTTAGATGAAACTGACGGTAAGCTACTTTTCTCAGTGTCGTTCATTAATGTCCAGATAATTTTTAAGTGTCGCTAAGAGATGTTGTCTGTCCATGTAAGGCAAGGCAAGGCAAGGCTAATGGCAATAAAGAAGTTTTTATTTACCATACTTTGCCGACTATAAGACGCATCTTTTTACATAGAAAAATGGAGTTAAATTTAAAGTGCGTCTTATGGTCCGAAAATATTCTTTCAAAAAATCGTCTCTAATTTTGAGTTTTGAAAGCAGAATAGTTCAGATGAAAGTAGTATCAACGGTGACATTAACGAGACGAGTGATATTATCGAGAGTGAAGATGAACGGAATATTGCTAGCACAAGTTATATTAATAATAAATAAAAATGTGGATCCGAAGGTAACATTAAAGTGTATTTTTCTGAAAATCATCTCATAAATTTGAAGTGCATCTTATAGCCCGAAACATACGGTAATCTTTTCATAAACCCGACCTGGCCTTCAGGTATTTCACGTTTTGCAAGGATATAATGTTTTATCGATTATTAAGTATGTTAGTACCCTTTGTAAGAATAAGGAGGTTTCAAAATAACGAAAAAGATTTCGTTATTATGCAGTGAGGGTTCTTACCCTGCTTAAGTCTTACCGTTAGATGTAGTTGCTTGCCAAAACAACCGTTGCAGTGTGATAAGGAAACCATAAGGCCATTGTTTCTTATTACGTATGAATCATTAAATGAAGGACATCCTTGTTTAGTGTATGATAAATTGATTTTTTGGAATATGTAAAGAAAATGTCCATTTTGTTGGACGAATTTTATTCATTTCATTTCAAACGCAATAAAACTTCTGTTGTAAACACTTGGGGAAAAGACAAATTTATATCTAAATATATCTATATATATATATATATATATGTATATATATGTTGGATGTCAAGAAGTTCGTTCAAAAACCGAACGTGGTATCATTTTCTCTCTCCCTGTCTACCTTATTACTCTCTGCAAAACAAATATTTATTGTCAGTTTAAATATGACGTACGGTATATTGCCTTTTATATACAATGATTACGTAGGTATATATACCGCATTGTGTGTTTGTATATGTAAAAGCTGTGCCTAGTATACATATACGTTATATTCATTTAAATTAAGGGTGGAATTGAAAGTTAAACGATAACATAAGATACAGAGTTTTTACAGATAAATTCATTCATCTTCATTTGTTTTTTCATTGTTATATTTGCTGTGGCTCAGTATTAAGTGTATTTTTGTCAAATTTTATATAAAATTTTTTTGAACTTTTTTATGTGATAATTCTTTCCTATCGTTATCGGCTTTTCCTGCGCGTGCATACATATATCGCGTTCACAATGAATTCATATTCGCATATAAATACAACCCTGTGTAATTAAGGGTAAAATGTATTTCTTTTTCCTCTATTCCAGTTCGTTTGACAGTAATGAAAAATTTTTATCAGTTCATGTCTAATCTTACTTGTAATAAACTTGCGTGAATATATTTAAAATATTAATTTTTTAATTTTGCTGAGTCACAGCCCTATCGGCAATCAGTTAATAAGGAGCAGAAGAAGTTTTGCAATTTTATTGAAAATTTCAAGTGCAAGTTTTATGCGATGACTCAAAACGTTTCCTTTCAATTAACTGGAATTTGTGAATACAGGATAAAACCATTCCTGTATGTATACATAAAAAGTATATTGGAATTGTACGAGTCAAGCAATTGGGAGCAACTGGGAAAAGCTTAATGATTTGCAAATTTAATTTAAATATCTTTATTACGCGTGTTTTATGAATGAAAATAAACATTAATTTAACATGTTTTTAATTTAATGTCTTAAATCTGCAATAGGCTCTCTTTGTCTGCCAAACGATACGTATAATATTTTCGGGAAGTGCCATCATATTGTAAAGTTTTATTAGCTCAAGAAAATAAATCTATAAAAAGTAATGCTTACTTCAAATGAAATTTATTGGTAAGTGTGTTTAATTAATATCCGTCTATGCTATAATTAATTATCATAAGTACTTTTATCTTATTTTTCTTATTCTTATTTTGATCGATTTTTTTAAAAATATTTCTGCACTTGAGATCTCAGGCTTTACTTTTTACCCATTCCTCCATAGTGCTTGTGTTACATGTAAACACATACCTATTTCCCGAATTGTCTATTTTGTCTATCTTTAGTTACGTTACTTTTTTCTTCTTCAGTCCGGTATTATATATGTGGACAATAAGTTGGATATTAAAAGTAAATAAACTTGGCATATTTTAATACATCAGTGACGATTTGAGGTAAATTTAGAAATATATGTAAGTGAGTATGTGATCAAAAAAAAAAAAAAAAAAAAAATTTCTAATTGAAAAAAACGAGCATTCATGCTAGTTATATATTTCCCCTCACCTTTAAGCTAATTTATGGACATCTTCTCAGATGTAAATGTTGTGGTTTGAGGCAAGGCAATCAGAATTCCAACCGATTTTGGTCTCTGTTTGTTCAGATAATGGATATGCCACTACTAAGTCGGGTAAAAGGGAACTATGGACTGTTATGTAAACGCTTCTAATTGATTTTATATATTTTGAGTGCTTTGCGCTCAAAAAGAGTTAATTTTTCTTCTTTACCGATTTGATTCTAAAAACGTGTAGCCAGGCCAGGCCAGGCCAGGCCATCTTTTTATCTACCACTATGCTCTACAAGCTCTTTTACTTGATACCCATATCACTGATGTTATTAAGAAAAAAGTAATCGCTGTGTCTAACGTGTTGACTTTAGAATCAACCCATTTTTGGGCAGATAATATATCTTGATTTGAAGAATGCATGAAATAGTTTTAAAGGTTCCGTCTTGTTTGCCTTATGGTAAATAAGTATAAAACCTTAAAAATGTGAAAAAAAGGAAATATAATCATTTGCAACTTCGTGTGGGCATGGCCGATTTTTCCCGTTTTTGCACGTAAAGAGTAGAGTTTTCCGTAAAGTAAATGTGAAAAATTTCACCCCTTCCGAATAACGAGCAAAATTGCGAAAATTGTTATTAAGAAAAACGGAGTTGTGTTTAGTTTACGCTTTATTGCAGGCTACTGCTCTGACTAAATTGGCCCATTTTCAATAGCAATCTGCGTGCAAAAAGTTCGAACGTTTCTAGCAAATTTGAAGTTGAATCCTTTTTTTTTGCTACCAGGTGAGTGCCAACAACAAGCACCAAGCAGATGGGCAGACATGGCTTAATCATTTCGAAATTTCACGCTGATTAAGAATACACATACTTTGTGGGGTCTTTGAAGCTTACTCTGAGTATACCCCCATCTTTCAGTGGTGGGGTGGGTGGTGTGAAGGGAGGGGGGGGGGGTATAACAAGAAACACAAAATTATTAACCATTTAAGGAACGAATACATAGTTTATATATAATCTTTGTAGCGTTCTCATATAATCATTTTTCCTTGCGTCATTTGTCCATGGCTACGACCACTTTTCATTTTGGTGACCAAACAAACAAGCAAGGATACACGAATTTGTCCTAAAAAGAGAAAAAGGGTAGATTGTTTCTTTCCATTCTAGCAGACCGAAGTAGAAATTAATTTCATTGCAATTGATAGCTTCGCGCTTGATTTTATTTAGAATTTTTTATATGGAAGAATTGCAATTTCTTGCATGAATCTGAGTAGAATCATCGTAACCAATGAAATTACTCGCTTATGCAAAACGCTTGATAAGATTCAAATTAAATTAAACCGAGTTCGAAAACGGATAATGAAATTTTTCTGCTTGAAAATTGTCCTTTTATTTTGAACGACAAAACTTGAAATTGTGTTAGTTTGAAAACCGAACGCTTTCATCTTGAATAAAGATATCAAATAAATAAATAAATTCGATTTTTTTAGGAATGAAAATATACAGACTCTGTCACTCTTTTTTCCGTCCCTCTGCAGAGGTTGAAGAAATATGCAGACCTAATATGGAATTTAGACGATTTTAAACGTAGTGAGAGAAGATAGCCGCAGATACGGAGAGAACAAAATTGGTGCGAACAAAATTATTTAAAAGCAATTTGATTAAAAAGTTCGATCTGACGCATATTTTTATTACTCTAACTTTAAGGTGTTGATTTTCTCTGAAAGGGATGTAATTAAAAAAAAATTCTTTTTTAATTGATTGCTGCTTACGTGAAAGTGAAAGCGATAATGACTTAAAAATTAGCATAACGAGATCCAAAAAATAAGAACCCGATATCTTCTTGTGTCTTTATTCAAAGACAATGTGCATTTTGTCGAACAAAACAAAACTGCATGTGTCTCCAGAAGTCATATGTTTACTGTACTAACCTTCAGTTTGTTTTGTAGAACTTTGTAGGCTTTATTTCGTTCCGTGAACATTATATATGTATATAGATAGAATTTCGTTTCCACATGTATGTTTGTGTTAGTGACTTTAAGAAGTTCAATTCTTGGTAGACAGTATTAAAAAAATATATTTTTCTTATAAGATCTTTGATCTATGCATCTACTATGATTGTCAGTGCAATATCCATAGCCAAGGGCGCGATGAAGATAATGTTAATAACGTTAGTCTGATCGCTACTATTTTAAATATTTTTAATTAATTAATTTATTCTCATTAATTTGCGAAATGTTAAAACTCACGTCTAAGAAGTAACGGGAAAGAAATTCAATGCAAACCTTTTATATTTCCTTTATGAGTGCTATTATCAGGCTTTGCTATTGGCGTTTTGACCTAATAAATTTTTCTCTTTTGAAGAACGTCTCCATGATGTTCCGAATACTTTGTTTCTTAGGCTATAATATCAAAAATAACGTGTATGCACGCATTTTTTGCTTTTCACTACTACCATGGTTCAGATATTCACCCCAATCTCTGACAGTCTATTAAGCATCGTTTAATAAATACGAAATAAAGTTTTTTACATGTCATAGTAAGAGTCTGGGATTCTCACCATCGCCAGCAGTCAAATAAAAACTAGCAGCACTTTCTTAATTGAGAAGCACAACAATTTCAAGCATATCTTGATATTGTCCCTATATATTTGTACTTAATTTCAGACTGATGACTGGTGACGAAAATATAGCAAACGTTTCGAGATTGTTGCACGCATCTATATATCCATTAGTGAATTGTGTTAGTACGCGTTTAAATGTTTCTTTCCAAATTGATTTTGGAAAAAATATCTCTGCGCCTTCCTGTTAGGATTAGAGTGTTAAAGAGATCAACGAGGCAAATCTCCTATTGGAATTAGCAGATATTCATTCGAATATTTGGATATGAAAAATTAGTACACTTATGGGTAGGTAATGGATAGCAAAATAAAAAATGTTATTTCGCTTCAGTCAGTTCAGCGGGAAAATTTGCCCGTGAAACTATTTGGTGTGAGAAGCAAAAGTACTTACACGAATTGTTATGACTATGACTATACTTCAGCGTATAATTTCGTATTAAGAATGTGTCAGAGTTTTCGAAATGTATAAATGCACGTCTATTATTTAGATTGGGAAGTCTTTTTTAAGTGGCCGTATTATTTACGCTATGTTTATGCCGGTACACTAGTTATTGCACAGGGTGTATTAAGTTTGTGCGTGTAGGTATGTAACACCCAGAAGAATTTAAACGAGGTCCACCTTTTGCTATACTAATCGATTCAGAAAACGATTCGGAATAGTCTAAGGTTATCTCTCCGTCTGTCCGTCTAACGTGTGTTAATCTATTCTCATGCCCAATCTACAGGTCGCAATTTTCGATGAAGTTTGTTGCAATGACATGGTTTTGCTTTGGCCCAAGCTGCACAGTCTTTCCGAAGTGATTTGAATCGGATAACTTTCTCAACCACTCCCCATATAACGTCTTATTTCGAAAGTATATTGCAATTTTCAGAATGTCGTGACAATAATAATAATAATAATAATAATATTTTGGACATCATCGCATACATGGAGGTTTATGGAAATGCAACTCTTATATGCCAAAAAAGTTCCAACGTCCAAGTTATGGACAGTAAAAATTTGTTCATAATAGTATTTTCTTATAAAAATTAATTAAACCAAACTTCAAGTACATGAATTCATTTTTTGGATGCCATTCCATATAAGGTTTCTCATCGATAGCAAGCCTTTTACCAAGAAGTTGTAATGTTCATTATTTTATAATGAAAATCGTTTCGTCTTATGACGGAAGTAACTGAAAAATAATCAAATCTTTAACAAGTGAAATAAATCTTTCGAGTGTTCTTCATGTTCTCCACCTTTACATTAAACTATTATATAATTTGTGATATGTTTATTAGGCGAGGTGTGATATAGGGTATCGAATTATTGGCATTGCTCAATTATAACGTTCTCACTTGTTTTTAAAATTATTGTACATATTCGGGTGGCGGTAATTGATATAAAATGCGTGACACTACATACATATGCAAAACTGGGAAATTATAGCTCAACGTTTAATTTTCTCATATGATAGTCTTTTTTTTTTAATCTTTTTTTTCTACATATATTTTATGAGACTTAAAAAAAAAAAAAACAAAAAAAAAACAGATCAATTATAGGAAACAATTGGACGGTTTTAGAAGCATTGATGGTTAAAATTTTATTTAATTTTGAGTTAAAAAATGGCAGAGATCAAGTATTGCAGTCATGTCAACCAACGCTTTCGTCTTTTACAAAATTAATTTATTATTAGTGGGCAGCGAAGTAAAGCGTTGACATAAAAGGAACATCTGTTTTCTTTGTTTGTATTGTTTTTTTAGTGTTTCGAGCCTATGATGTTGCTCGTAATAGTGAGCAATTTAAAGAATTTAAAGATCTGGTAGCCCTGGTTAGTTGCAATAAACTTTTTATTCACTTACATGGCCTCGATATGACAGAACAAGCTTTAAGTAAAGATAGCTTTGCACACATGTATACACTCGCCTATATACGTATTTGTTTTAAACACATGTACATGCGAATGTATACTAAACATGGGTAAACACGATTTCAACCGAAGTAACAAATTTAGTTTGTATTTCTTTCTTGCCGATAATGCTTTCGACTGATAAATTGTTTTATTGTTAACGTTTTTGGAATGATTACGAGTTTTGTGTATTTGGCATAAGCGAAAAGCAATATTAATATACATATATCTATATATATATATATATATGTATACTAACTAACTAACTAACGGCTATACTTTAATCAGTACGTACGTGTACATAAGTTAGTTGTATATTTTATTCACTGAATTTGCTTTCAGTTCTGATTAATAAAAGTAGAATACATGTGTGTATATGTTTAAATGCACTCGTATATGTGCAACGGCACGATCACTATGAAGTCATGTGTGCCTGAGTGTGTTTGTGTAAATAAATAATAAAAAAAAAAAGAAAAAAAAAAGAAAAAAAAAGTTATATACGTATATATATATATATATATAGATTATTGGTTGAGTAACTTTCATAAAATATATATATATATATATATATATATATAAATAGCAAAAATAAAACAAAAACGTAATCTGTCGAAATCAGCCATATGTCGGTTCATTAATTCACACCTAAAACTACCGCAGACAGTTAAAACTGCATGTAGTTTGTAGTTCAGTATTAAGTACAATAAAAATGTATGACTTTTTTTTATATGCATATATATTTCTGTGTATATGTATATAAGTACAAATATAAATATATATATATATATATATATTTATATAACTTAGCAAATGTATTTTAGTACATATATTTAAAGTATTTTTTTTTGGAATATGTTTTCTCTAAATGGAGCGAAAGCAAGTTGCACCGATAGCATAAACCTTTGATAGAAAATGAAAATTGTGAATTATTCAAATTTGATATGTTCAGCCCTTTAAATTAACGTAATATGTGCATAAATGAATGATGGAGAGTGAATACAATTTCGACATTTATATATATAAACATATATATATATATATATTTACATTTATATATAAATGTATATACATATGTATATATGTATATATGAATATATATGAATAAAAATATATATATATATATATATATGTATATATATATATATTTTTATTTATTTATTTATTTATTTATATATCTATCTATATATATATATATATATATATAAATATGTATGTAATTACTTCTTTTTGTACATAACAAAAATAAGTGTGAAAGTTTCTCAAAAGTGTTTAAAAAGAAAGAAAGAGTAACAGTGTTGCATTCGTCGTCGCAAACAATCTGACGAATAAGTGAAGCTTTGAAAACACATAGTATATATCGTCAATTAGTTTAGTATAAGTAAGCTAAGCTTTAAGCATACCACTTGCAACACACATCTCGTAAACCCAACTAATTATAAGCTAAGATCGGGCGTGTTTTAAGACCATAATTCCGCAACTTAAGTAAAATATAAAATGTTGCTTTGAAGCTTAAATTTTTAACACAAAATAATGAAACGAAAAAAAATCTATATTTCTATAATTAAATCTTTTGTGTAAACGTGATATTGAAACTAGTTTTGAATAGACCGAAATATACTTGCAATATTAGCAAGGTGACATCGAAAGACAGTTTAACCTAGATAAAAAAAAAAAAAAAAAAAAAAAAAAAGAGGAAATATTAAACACTACTGGATAATTTAATAGGTGCACTTTATTTAGAAAAACTCGTTTTATATTTCAATTACTAAACAAACATATTTTTCGTTAATTTTAAATTTTTTAAAATTAGAAATTATATTTGCATTCAGAGTGTTACTTTTTACTATAGTAATATCAAGATATCGGTAGTGATCGAATTATTTATATTTAGTATTAAAAATAATGAAAACTAATTGTTATAACCGCAGACGACTTATTCCCCTATGTAGCCTATACTCTATCAGTGTTTTGCGGATCGTTTAGGATGCTTATGCGTAAGCGAAATTATTAATCATTAAAACTGTTTAAATGCTTCGAATTTTAGCTTTTCAAATCATCCAAAGTGTTATTTTTTGATATTAGTTTACTAATCAGTTAGACACTTGCTGCTTTTGACAACCTTTAATTATTATATCCACTCATCTGACTTTCTCAAATGATGAATAATAATATTAATTTTATTTTAATAGTTTCGTGTTAGTAATCGATTTTGTCCCCATAATGATTAAAGTTACGGATTTTGTTTCAATTCCTCTCTCCTTTTATTTTGAAAGCACTTCTACTTTTGTTACAATTTTACCAATTAAAAGTCTTTCCGTCCTATGAAACGCGCACTGTTGGCTATTGTTGGACTGTGGTCCAGTATATTTGAAGACAGGGCCAATTTTTCGCTCGGTATGCGAAGTGCACATTTTCAATTGCTTAGCACTGTGGTATATTTGGTTTTGCGTACTTGCAAAAGCGCAATCATTTAATGCTTGAAAACAGTGCTCAATTCAATGCATAAAAAATTGTTGTTGAAAAATTCGTAGTATTCTATATAACTTGAGGAAGTGAGAGTTGATTAATACGTAGGGGCAGTATTTGTGAATTAAGTTTTAATATAACCGCTATTTATAAGACCAAAATGAACCAACGTTCACCGAATTTCTATGCAATGTTATCAGCAGCACTTAAAAGTACTCACTTATAATTTATATTATATATATATATATATATATATACATATATATATATTATACTATTTTAACTGATAGTTTCTAGCAAAGCAGCAATTGGTAAATCCGGTTTTACATAAACTTTGCATTATTTAAAAGTCAATTTCTATAATCGGTAATTTTTTCATTATTCGAGAATTTTCCCTTTTTATATGCTTTTATTTACTTATTAATTATTTATTTATTTTGCCCATCACCGAAGGATGACGGTTGGGAGGTATGTTCATTTTGTTAAAACATTTGAGTAGCATCAAATTCTGAACCGGTTTAGGCATGTCTGTCTGTCCGTCTGCCTCATAAGCATAATCCTGGCCCCAAAAATGAAGTCATCGACTTCAAATTTGACAAAAAAATTGGAAGTTTTTGTTTTTGAAAATAGGCCAAATTAATCGAGAGACACTTCTACAACGTCACGTTAACTGAGCACACCTCTGTTTTTCAAGAGGAATAAGAAATTGGTTTTTTGCTCATTACTCCTAAACTAAAATTGAATTGATATTTTGTATGGGCGATGCTGCAGCATTATGTACATGAGATAAAATGAGGAAAATTGACGACGCTTACCCAATACTATAGTGTATCAAAATTTGTTTTTTTTTTTTTTTTTTTCAATACCTTTATGAAGCGCAGAAGCGAATTCTTGGTCATTTTCAAATTCGCAATGTATCTAAGCATGTTCGTTTGCCCAACTGGGTAGTATCTGTGATACTCATTCATGTGATGAAGATATCGCCTAAAAAATTTGCAAAAGAATTTAAATTAGGTCCGATTCGGTTAAGGCACACGCCTATAACGTCGACACGTCCATACAAGCAAAATTGAGAACACCATTACTTTCCTTGTCTTTTGTTTGCCTTTCATCAACTATAACAGATACATGATATAAATTTCCACAAAATTATGCGAAAAGAATATCAAGAACCAGCCACGTCCATCCGATGCTACGCAAATTCATTCTTTTCCTTTCTTTCAATCTTCTCTAGGATAACTGTAATGGGTATAAGGGATTCGATGGCAATAGGAATTTCTTACATGTTCTTGTTGATATGACATACCGATTTGTCCTAATCAACCATAACATTGATGCTATCTATTCGACGTGAACTGTACCGCTTTAAAAGATTGGAAGTTTTATAGTAAGTGAGTGAATTGTATTCAGATGATTCTGAATCCTGTGAGAGATCCTTTGCACTAGTTAAGCATTACCGTTGATTTGCGGTCGCGTAAATCTTAAAATGCAAAGAACGGGGAAACGCTTACGAGCGTCTTCTAGGCAATAGGATAGAAGGTAGGAGAATTACAATCTCTCTCGACGACCTGGCAAATCAATTGCTATTGCAAAGAAACACGTATTAGGTGTGTATTATGCCCCGAAGGTATAAGATTTGAAATATTTAAATATAATTATATTAACAAGTATTCTAAAGATAATAAAATAATCTTGAATAATAATACAGTGACGGAAGAGTAAAAAAGAACGCTTACTTTGATTAAGGAAGAAGAAAAAATATTAAAGTTACTAATAAGAGAAAAGTTTAAAATGAGCATTTCTTGAGTGTCTCCAAAAAAAAAAAAAAAAAAAAAAAAAAAAAGGAAAACAACAAAAAAAAGAAGGAAACTGAATTGAATCCGCGTTTAAAAATTGTGCGTGAAATATGTCAGAAACCGATTTAGATGAGAAATCGAACTTGGAATCATTTTTGCAATACGAATCAAATAAGCAAGGACCGCCACCTATTGTCGTTGTCGTCGGCGATGGTCGAAGCCGAGTTCGGAAAGTCGTTCGAACTGCCACACGACATGTCACGGTGGTGAGTTATTCGACGCGCCACAAAGAGACAAGAACACATACATCTCATCATGTAACAACAGTAAGGTAAGAACAAAAAGAAACTTTAACAGAAGAATATCTGTACAGGACTCAATGTTAAGGAGCTCATGAATGCTCGGTCACGTATAAAAAAAATGTCAAATTGATGTTAAATTTAAACTTTTTTAGAAAATCGAAGGACTTTTGAAGAATTTGTTACCTTTATATACGTAGTGTCGTCAATTTTTTCTTGGAACTGTATCGAAGGAATGATATGTGCGAAGAATTGCGCTTAAATTTTGCAGAATTTTCTTTTCTTAAGGTCAAGGCTATTAAATAAAAGTATTTACATCACGTTCTGGGAAAACAATAATATTGTGATCATGAGATATGCTAGGGCGGACCGAAAATTAAATAGCAAACATACATGCACATTTGCCATACTTTTTTTACATAAATAA